GGGGGGGGGGCTGACAGCAATGGGGAGGGGGCCACGCACCCACCGGGGTAGTTGCTCCTCACCTCGTACTGGTCGTAGGCAAACATGGAGGCCCACCACGCGCGCATCTCGGGGTTGGTGAAGTCGGGGTACGCAGCAGAGCCTGGGAGCAGCGCAGGGGTCAGCGTGGACCCCCCCGCGGCTCCTTCTAGGCCCCCCCCCCCTCCCCACTGCACAGCCCCACTCACCTGGCCAGCACCAGCCCTCGTAGTCGCTGCCGTCTTTCGTCTTGACGTAGAAGCCGCGGGAGCGCAGCTCGTTGTGAACGCGGTACCCACTGTCCACTTTGATGTGGGGGTCCACGATGCTGACCATCTCGGGGGGGGGGGACACACACAAAAATACGTGTCAGCACCCAGAGGGGGTCCCGCAGCACCCCTCCCAGCCCCTCAGCGGAGGTCCCCTACCTTGCGTTTCTTGGCGGCCAGGCGTTCCAGCATATCACGGGGTCGGGGGAACTTGCTGGGGTCCCAAGTGAAATAACGTTTGCCGTCAGCGTGTTCGATATCCAGCCAGAGGACGTCGCAGGGGACGGCATGTTCCTCGAAACCCCGCTCCACCGCCGCCACGTCCTCCTCGTCGTTGTAATTCCAGCGGCTCTGGTGGTAACCCAAAGCAAAGAGGGGGGGCAGCGCCTGGGTGCCTGCGGGGGAAACGGATGGATGGACAGACAGCGGGGCTCGCAGCAGGGTCCCTGGTGCTGGCCCTGTTTTGGCGCACCCTCCTTCTTCCCTCCCCGTGGCACCATACCGGTGAGGGCGGCGTACTGCCCCGCCACGGCGGCGGGCGTGGGGCCCAGCAGCAGAAAAACGTCGATGATGCCGCTTTCCGACATCCAGCGCACGTCCGTCTGTGGCGTCTCGCCCCCGCCCTGCATGTAATCCAGCAGCTTCCCGAAAAGCGTCTGTGGGCGGGGAGAGGTGTCAAAGAGTCCCGCTGGACCCCCCCAACTCCTCCCCAGGACCCCCCTGTCGCCCGTTCCCGCACCTTGCCGGCGGTGTTGGAGCTGATATCCACCCAGGTCTCGGCAGCGTTGAGCCAGAAGATGCCAAGTGTGCGACGGGCGCTGTGTGCCAGCAGGAGTGGGACGGAGCCGTAGAGTGCCATGGGGTTGTAGAGCTCGTACTGGAAGACGTCCAGGTTGTAGAGGCGGTACGGGTCTCCCCCCCTGCAGGACACCAGGCGGGTCAGCGTCCCCCACTGCGGTACCACCGTCATCACCCTCCTCCCCGACTCGCCCTCCCTGCCACTCACTCGGTGGTGCGGAGCCGCAGGCTGTCGGCGTGCTCGGGGATGCCATAAACGTGCTCGAAGCCGGGCAGGGAGAAGTCCAACCCCACCGAGGTGGGCCCTGCAGTGGGACGGGGAGGGGAGTGGTGAAACTGGGAGCCCCCCCGCACCGGTCTCCCCCCTCCCCTCCCTGGCCACGGGACGGGCCTCACCATTAGGTTTGGTGTCCGTGTGTGTCTTGAATGTCTCCTCCCAGGAGCCCGGCTCCTCCACAGCCTCAGCTGTGGCCTCCGTGGGCTACGGGACCAGACGCCGTTAGGGATGGGTGGAGAGAGGGGTTCTCCCCCCCCCCCCCCCAAAAAAGGGGGGGGCCCAACTCCCTGCTGGACCCCAGCACCTTGTCCGCAGCCCCTCTCCCTGTAATACCTTCTCGCTCTGGTTACTGGCGTCCTCCGTCCCACCAGTGGTTTCCTCCTGCCCCTCGGCAGCCCCCCCTTCTTCCGCAGTGGGCTCCCTGGGGGTGTCCCTGTGGGGGTGGGGGGGCGGTTATAAGGTCCCAGGGCATCCCGGTCGCCGCAGGCAAGAGTCACGCACGCAGCAGGTTCGCGGTGGGGGGGGACACGGACAGACACAGGACACCCCAGCAGGCACTCATTCGGGGCCCTGAAGGTGGGGACAACACCCCAACCACCCCCCCCAGCTCACTCGGGGTGGGGGGGGGCAGTTCCTCACTTTTGGGGGGACGGGGACGGCCCCGGCCGCTCCTGCCCCTTCCTCCTCCCTCCCACTGGGGCCTGCCCGGCCCAGGGGGGCTATGGGGGGACACTGCCCTGGGGGTCCCCTGGCCAGGGCTCCCGCTGGGGGCCCGGGGGGGGGCGGGGGGGGCAGAGACAGCAGCAGAAGCCACAAATTTACCTATGGAAAAGGGTCTTGATCTTATCCCACAAGCTACCGACCGAGCTACTAACTTTATCCGAGAAACTGGGGCGCGGGCGGGGGGGAAGCGCAGCCAGAAACAGAAACACAGCGAGAGTCAGTGCGAGGAGCCGCCGGACGGACAGACAGACGCGGCCCGGCCCGGCTCCCCCCCACCCCCCACCCCTTCCCCTTGGGCTGCCCACCCTCTCGGGGTGGGTGGTGGGGGGCCCTTTGGAACGCTGCCGTTCCCCGCCTCCCTCTTCCCTAGGGTTTACCTTCACTGGTGGGGACAGCCAAGCACCCCGAGCTCCCCAGGGGGGGTTTGCTGGGTGCCCTGGGTTGGAGTGGGGGGGGGAAACCTGGGGAGCAGGGGGAGACCCGGTCCCACCCACCCGGCCGCAGAGCTGCCCACCCCTGGCCGCACTCACGAGTCCCGGCGTTGTCGGAGGTGCTCGAAGAAGAGGAGCCCGCGGGCATTGACGCTGCAGAGCAGCTCCCGTCCCTGCAGCAGGTCCATGCGGAATGGCTTCTCTGTCACCAGCAACCGGTGTCCGGCGGGGCCCAGCGACAGCTCCAGGCTCCCCTCGTCTCGCCCCGTCACTGCCAACCTGCCGGAAAGGGGAAGGGAGGTGCCGATAGCGGCTGCGTCCCCCCACTCCCCGCCCCGGCTAACGTGCGTGTCCCCATCTCCGCATCCCCTCCCCTCCACCCGGCACTCACCGCTCCACCGGTGGCTCGGCCACCAGCACATCCGGCACCTCGAACCGCGGCCGCAGCGGGTTCAGCTCCTTGATGCGGATACGGGTGACGTTCCCTTGCAGCCCCCACAGCTCCAGCAGCAGCGGGACCTGGAAAAAAAGGGTGTGTGTGGGAGGGAAAGGATGGATATACAGACATGGTCTCGGCAGGACGGTGCTGGTCACTGCCTCCGCGTTTTCCCTGGTCCCGGTACGGACCTTGGTGACTTCGTTAACGAGCTGTAACCTGGCAGCGTCCGGTCCGAGCTGCAACGATTCCAGGAGGGCCCGGTATGGCGAGTGGCCGGGCTGCAGGCCGCGCTGGCGCCTGTGGGGAAGCAAGAAAGGGGGGTGTGTGGGGGGGGTGACAACAAACCCTGAGCCCTTCCCCCCCCAAAACCATGGCTAACCCCCCCCACCTGCAGAAACCGCTTTGTTCACACGTCTTGAAGTTGCTCCGGTCCACGGCCAGGGCGGTCGCCAGGCAAAGGGCCGCCCACAGCAGCACCACCGGCCTCCGCCTGCGGGGGGGACACACACGAACACACATATACCGGGTCCGACCGGGGACGGGG